TTTCAGTGTTCAGCACAATTTTTCAGTCATTCATGGACATATACACACTCATTGTCACATTTTTTTCTCTGTGAGTTATCATAACATTTTGTGTATATTTCCCTGTGCTATACAGTGTAATCTTGTTTATCTATTCTACAATTTTAAAATCCCAGTCTATCCCTTCCCACCCTCCACCCCCCTGGTAACCACAAGTCTGTATTCTCTGTCTGTGAGTCTATTTCTGTCCTGTACTTATGCTTTGTTTTTGTTTGTTTGTTTTTGTTTTTGTGATTTAGATTCCACATATGAGCGATCTCATATGGTATTTTTCTTTCTCTTTCTGGCTTACTTCACTAAGAATGACATTCTCCAGGAGCATCCATGTTGCTGCAAATGGCATTATGTTGTCGGTTTTTATGGCTGAGTAGTATTCCATTGTATAAATATACCACTTCTTCTTTATCCAGTCATCTGTTGATGGACATTTAGGCTGTTTCCATGTCTTGGCTATTGTAAATAGTGCTGCTATGAACATTGGGGTGCAGGTGTCATCCTGAAGTAGATTTCCTTCTGGATACAAGCCCAGGAGTGGGATTCCTGGGTCATATGGTAAGTCTATTCCTAGTCTTTTGAGGAATCTCCACACTGTTTTCCATAGTGGCTGCACCCTTTTCCCTTATATTAATGGCACATGGAAACTTGGCTTCTGTTTAAAGTTTCTGCGAAGTCTGCGGGATCCCCAAAACATCAACCCTGCCCAGAGGTTACCAACCTCCTGTTTCACGTACGTTATTTTTATCATCCAATTTTTCTACAGATATTATGCTTTCCATGTTTCTCTGTGATATGATCTCTCATTTCATACCCTTCTGGTCATTGACTTGCTTTGACATGATCTTTTTAGGTTGGAATGATTTGGGCTTAATGTAGATTTGATACAAGAATGATAGACAGAAATTGCCCCCCTGTGACGAGAGAAAATCGGAACAAGAAAACTGCAAGTGAGAAATTACCAGCTTGCATTTGTCATTCTCTTAAGAAGGGTTAAGGGTGTTGCTTAGCACTGCTCGATGTAACATTTATTCACACTCATGTGTAAATGACTTATCAGAACATAAATTGCTACTCCTCCTCCATTTTGGCACTTAACAACCGAAGTGTCAGACTTGGGGATACCAGGATTGATTGTGTTCATTCATTGGAAGAGTGGATGCTGGAATCTAGAAATTTCTAGATCATACTTCATAGGTAGTTATTCCCTCAATCTGCTTCCAAACAAATGGAATTTAGCATGCTCTTTAGGACTCTAGAGGTAAGAATATTTTCTCTCTATTGGCCCCAGAACTTCTTGCCGACTCTCCTCCACTCCAACATTGCTCTCTCTGTCTACACTGGGGCCATCGCAATGAATTGAAACAGTGGTTTGGGGAGAAAACAAGGGAATTAGATGATCAAATGGAGGCAAGTTTCAAGGACTCCTTTCTTGGTCTTCAAGTTTGGCAGCTGCTAAGACGTGTGGTAGCAGCCCCGCAGAGGGCAGGAGAACAGACAACCGCACATTTGGGAAAATGACTGTAATAGGCCTTTCCTTTCTCAGACCAAAAAGTGACCATGAGTATACGTTTGTACCTCCATTCATTCATTTATAAAACAAACTTAAGTGACGCTTGTTATCATTCGGTCTTCAAGGAATGTATAATTTAGTTCGTTGAATTAGTCCACTCGGTCGGAGGTTTTCTTTCTTTTTTCTACCAAAGACCATGTTTTATGTGTCTCACAGCTTATGACAGAAATGTTGTTCACATGTGGGACAAACTCTCATTGAACACCTGGAGTTATTCACCTCATCCATGGTCTGTCACTCCATTTTTTTCTCTTCCAGGTGGGAAGGTGTATCAGATTGCAAGGGAGGGGGGGAGAGAGAGAGAGAGATCCTATAGGAATAACCTTGGATCTAATCTAAGTGTGAAAGTAAGACATTCTCATATTTTTAATTTAATAAATACTAATATTAACTTATTTGTAACAGACTTCACAAATGACTATAAAAAGCAGGTGTGTCACCACTGAAACACGCTGCTATAGAGAGCAAGGGCGGTGCAGAACGCTTTCTGTGCCTGGGATGGTCTTGTCACTTTGTATACAGTTTTTTTTTTCCATTCCATCCCATACTTCATAATCCTGTTTGCTCAACTACTGCAGTGATTTTTCCACCTTTAGCATGTGCATCAGAAACACCTGGGGGGGCTTGTTAACATCAGTCCTCTGGGCCCCTTCCCGCAGTTTCTGAGTGAGTAGGTCTGGGTGGGGCTTGAGAAGCTGCATTTCCAATAAGTTCGCCAGTAATAGGAACGCTGCTGGTCCGGGAATCACATTTTGAGGATCACTGATTGAGTCATCCTCTCATCCGTTTATAAAAAAATTAATTAAAAGCCTCCCTGATGCCTGGTACCAAAGTAAAAAGATAAATTGAACATGATTTGGTAAGAGGTACGAGCTAACATCTCCTGAGTGCTCTTCTGAGGGCTTGGTTATGACCTGGTTTACTCCTTTAAGACAATTCTTCAAAGTGGGTCTTTTTTTTGCCCTATTTTACAGACAAAAATACAACAACTAAAGAGAGTGGGTAACATGCTCAAAATTATACGACAAGAGTCAGAACCAGGACTTGAACTCTCAGGTCTGCTGGATGCAAGTGACACCTGCAGACGCCATGCGAGTTACCTCTGTGACACACAGTATGGCTATCAGTCTTTTGCGGATTAAAAGAACCTAACGTTCAGAGAGGTTAAATAACTTGCCCGAGGTCACACAGCTAGGAAGTATCTTAAACAGACTTTAATCTCAGTTTTTCTGATGCCAAAGTGCTTTTGCAGCATTTCTCCCCGTTATCTCTACATCAGGATCCATGGTGCCACTCAGCCGGACCGCACAGAGAACGGGGCGTTCTGTGCGATGCTTTGCTTAACCGAGAACATCTCTCTTGTGTTGACTTCAAAAGCTTTCTAACAGTTCTCAGTGCACTTTCCACCCTAAGTCAGCACGGAATAATGGAATGTTTCCTTGATGATTCAGGATCTTACGTGTCCCAGAACCATCATTATAAGCAGCCTTCATTTCTGAGAAATGTCGAAGTGGCTGCAGAAGATACAGGTGATGGGACTGAATGTGTGAGGAGCCCAGAATGACGGGGGACAAATTCAATGGTCTTCCACTCATTTACCTTTTCTGCAAGCGGAATGGAAGAGGCCCGGAACTGAGACCAATCAAACGCTTCCACTGAGTTGGGTCCAGAGGAATCAAGTTCACTCCAATTTGTGTAAGTCGCCGACCCATGGCATTAAAAGTGACCCTGTTTTTAGTTCTTTTGCGACTGGGGAAATCTCAAAGGATGAAGCTTACCCTGACTCCTGCGTACCGTCGTGTTACCCCGTCATCAGGGGAGAAGGGAGCTGTATAATTAGCTTTTGAGACATGAATCATCCTTGCTCTGAGGGCCCAGACCTGCTCAACTCTATAAAAGCAGCTCAAGGCCGAAGTGCCAACGTGCACGGTCTGTCGTCCCCCAGGCTGATATAATTACCAAGCTACCCTGAGGAGATGAAGGTGCTCCCTGCATCTGGCCTCGCTGTCCTCCTCGTCACGGCTCTGAAGTTTTCCTCTGCAGCCCCCTCCCTATTTGCAGCCACCCCCAGGACCTCAAGGAACAACTACCATCTCGCACAGGTTTGTGAATCTTTGCACAATTCCCTCTTCCCTCCTCCTACCCCCCAAGAAACCTAAAGGGGATCATGAGAAAATAAGGAAAATCTGTTATGGTTTTGAAATCATCTTCTAAGTCCACTGAAGTCTAATGGATACCATCTCCTGGGCAGCTAAGGCTGGTGTCTGGGGCCGGCTGGGCACCAGTGCTGCGTGATTGCATACATCAATGAAGAAGGATCTATCCAGGTATCTCGCTGCACACAGAATTTGAGGTGGCTTGCAAAAAATACATGCATAACAAAAAGACAGATTTGCACAGTAGAGATGGCTGGGAAATTTAGGGCTAAGCATCCCAATGATCACAACAGAAAAATTTCCTGTGTTCATTTATTTGAAAAATGGTTCTTGTACTCAGGACAAGCTTTATTAAAATTCGGAGCGAACCAAGTTTTTCCTGGGCGCCTACCTACTTCTCACGTGAGGGTCCTTCCTCTCTAAAGCATATGCCCCAAGCACCTAATTTACTTACACTTTCTGTATGTCCCTCTTTTCAAATCTCTCCCGGTTGACTGCTGGAGAGGATCTGATACAAAGAATTCATACTAGAATTTCTGCAAAAATGAAGTGTGACTCAAAGTGATTCAAAGTATATTTGCTTCCAAGTGTTTTTCGGGCACTTAAAGGAAGGTGGCGATCTTAAACCTGAAGAAACGAGTCTCCAGTGATGGCGTTTCCAACATTCATGAGAGGCGTGTAGATAAGATATTTTTTACAGGAGGGTCTCTTTTTTAAGTGTCAATCAAAACCATAGCGTGTCGGCAGTTGCCTCAGGGTTGCTTTCCGCCTGCCAGGCTTCACCTGTGTGAAGAGCAGCGTAGAGCTAATTTTGTCCCAACCACACCGGAGTGCCCCTCCCGACTGTTCACACCATTTGTCCACTCTAAATTGGCCAGTCCCCCTGCCCCCCCCCAGTCGTTAAACAGTTTGAATATCAGCCCTGCATATAAGCAGCATAGTGGCTGCCAAGTACAGACCTGTTAAATTGAACTGCCTTTGATGGGAGCCTGCTTTCAGATGAACTAAATTCCAAATAGCGTATCTCAGGACACGGTGCGGTGGGGGGTGGGGGCCTATTTCAAACTGTATTTTCCTGGTGCCACCAAGCTTTGCATCCCTTCTCCCCAGATATAATTTGTGACCTCCAGAAGAAGAGCCATGCTGGGGCCAGAACTGATCAGGGGTGGCTGAAGACGGGGATTTTGTCCAGGCTCAGGTCACCTATGGTCATCAGATCCCAACTGGCCTCACCTGTTCATTTACATATCATCTGTTACCGCTTTTGTACCATGAGGGCGGAAACCACATAATGAAACCAAAAATATTAACTATCAACATTTAGAGAAAACAATTAGCTGACCACCACCCACCCTCTGCCACCCCCAGTGGTCTCTGCAGGAATAAGGACAGCTAGTCCTGGGAAAAGCCATCCTTGCTTGGGGTATTTGGAAAGAATTAAGTGTTCTTAAAATGTTGGGGGTCTTTAATGACCATTTACTTCTTCCTCTCCAAAATTAGTCAGCCCACCTCAGTCTCCCTTATGACACACTCTCTGCAAGACCTTCGACCAAGCAGCAAGGAAGCTTGTCAACACCTTCCACCTGCAGACAGACCTTCTCCTGCCTGTAGTGGCCCCGGGCATCAGCCCTGGGCGGGAGCAAGTATCACGCCACAGCAGGCTGGAGTGAGCTGGGCAAATCTCCAAAGTGGATCCCAGAGGCTAGAAAGGAACCTTAGCATTTATGGAAGTATCCAACTGAGGCAGCCTTACAATACAACAAATGAAATGACACGAAGGTAGATTTAGTTCACAAAATAGCTTAAGTTCATTCATTCAGCAGCTACGGACTGAATGCTTACCGGATGCTCTGGGCCAGGGTCGGTTCTAAGCACTGGAGAAATCTCAGTGAACAAAACAAGCCAAGTCCCTGTCCTTTCAGCATGTACATGGGGATGATGGAGGAGGTGGGAAGATGCTGGGAAACGATAAACAAGTCAATAACAAGGGCCCAAGATTATTTCAGAAAGTGCTAAGTGATAGTGGAAAATAAATTAACCAGGATAATAGAGAGTTACTGGGACCGGGGAGCAGGGGGTGGGTGACAGGAGGCCTTTGCACCTGAGTAGTCCAGGAAGGTTTCTCGGAGGAAGCGACATTTGAGATGACCCTGAATGTCACAGTCATGTGAAGGTCTGGAGACAGAGCAGTCCAGGCAGAGGAAAGAGCCAGTGCAGCAGCCTGGGAGGTGGAGGGGCTCGTGCTGACGTTGGGCTAGTGCAGCAAGAGGGTGCTGGCTGAGTCCCAGCGCCCCAGCGTCAGGCCAGGCCTGGGGGCCCAGCTCAGGCTAAGCACCCCCTGCACTGCACTGCTTTCTTCTTTCTAGATCGCTCGCTGTGAGAGAACAGTTTCTTGTGCCTGGAAACTCCAGGCAGGCAACGTTTCCAAATACTACAATGCTTCTTCCTAAACCCATGGACGCGATAATATAATCTATGCTTAAAAAGATAAACAGGTTTTTAGCCGATTTATTTAATGCCCACTGTATCCTTTAAATTTTGACTTGGTTAGTTAGCATAAAGGCTTCAAAAATGATGCAGTGATGAAGTGCTTAGTCCCATAATCCAAGGTTTTATTCTTTTTTGTTTGCTTTTTAAAAAAATTAGTAATATCAATACAACATTAAAACAGGCTGTTAAATTGTCCTTAAAATAATACAAATTTTCATTATTACATTATTATGAACTCATAATTAAAGAGAATAAAAAGGAAAATGGGGGGACGGTATAGCTCAGTGATAGAGTGTGTGCTTAGCATGTACGAGGTCCTGGGTTCAATCCCCAGTACCTCCATTTAAATAAATAAATAAATAAATGCTAATAAATAAATAAATAAACCTAAATTCCCCCAAAGTATAAACATAAATAAAAATTTTAAAATAATAATAATAAAATAAAACCTTCCAAATACAAACTGTTAAATCCAGGTGCTTTAACTACCATTTTACTTTCTGTGCATAAAGATATTTTTCAATTATTATATTCAGAATTTGGTTCTTACCTTTCTGATCATTATGTCATAACAAAATTTTGATTTTTATACAATTTCAATAAACATCATTTTAAAGAGTTACAAATATTCCAGAATATAAGTGAGTTATAATTCATTTAACCATTTCTTTTGTTGGACACATAGATTATTTCCAAATGAGTAATGTTTCTACGAACATCTTTGTACATCTTTGTACAGCCTAATTTAAAGGATTTTTTTTTCAAGATGGATTTCCAGAAGTGGAATTAATGAGTAAAAGGGTATATGCACTTTAAATATATCAAAATACATTTGAAAGCATCTTCACGCTGGCTCCTCACTGGGGTGGTCAGTAAGGAAGACACCAGTCCCACTTTATAGATAAGAAAGTTGATACCAAAAGAAATTAAAGGAATTGCCCAAACTTGTTAGAACCTAAGGTTTATCACACAGCAAAAAAATTCTCACTACTCCATTTCTGTGACTTAGCCCAAACTGAAAGAAATGTTGAAGAAACCATATCTTGAACTTCACCTCATCCTTGCACACATAAATCTGAGAGCTAAGCTCTTAACTCAGGAAAAACGCTAGGAAAGTGCCCTGAAAGAGATTTGCAGACACTGACTGGTGCATTAAAATAGATAAACAAGTTAATACTGTATAGCACCAGAGAAATATATTCAATATCTTGCAGTAGCTCACGGTGAAAAAGAATATGAAAATGAATGTATCTATGTTCACGTATGAATGAAGAATTGTGCTTTATGCCAGAAATTGACACAGCATTGTAAACTGACTATACCTCAAATTTAAAAAAAAAAAAAAAGAAGAGATGGGAGGGAGACCGGGGCCCCTGGCTTCTGGGACTGACCCTCTCGGCCTCTGGTATTCCTGTCTATCAACCACTGGTAGAGAAGCGAAGGAGGACCACCCGATTGCCAACCACAGACTCCTGTGCTTTTACCGATGGAGGAGTGTGGAAGGCAGGCAGCTGAAATGATTCTTGGGGGTCCTGAAATCGTTGACCCAGGCCCATAATCAGGTCTGTGCACATCCGTGTGCCTAACTGAACATTTGGACTCTGAAAAATACACTAAAATCTTGTCAGTAACTTTGGCAGGAATGTGCCCAGAATAATTTGGGTTCTCAGCACCTCAGAAGATCAGATAATTCTTCAAAGAAACATATTTTCATATTTGGTCTAACGAATAAGTTCTTGAATAGTGACTGAACACCTACTATGCACCGAGAACGGTGTCAGGCCAGGGTCTGTATCTGTGGAAGAGTCACGATGCCCAGCAGGAAGGAGCTTGAGCCCCGGCAGGTGAGCATGACGCCACGGCAGTGGATGATGGCGCCACGTGACAGGTGCAAGTACCACATCCCGTGGGCACACCCGGTAGGGGCAGCTCACCAGTATCCCTGCAGTAACCAATCCTTGTTCTCCTTTTAGGTAGAAATGGTTTCTCATTTTACCTTCACTTCACTAAGGGTGGTTTTAGTCCTATCTCCTCCCACTGGCCTCAAACCTTTTGAACCGCAGGTCAACTATCTTATGCATGTTTTCATGAAAAAAAAATTTTATTGTAAAAATTATTTATGCTCACAGCCAAAAAAAAACTGTTAAACATATATAACTCAAAAAAGCATTATTCTCAGTTCCATCACTAAAATACAAGCACTGTTAATCCTTTAGTCTACATTTTTTCAAAACTCTTTCTATAACTCAGGCTGGGACTAGGGCAAGGGAGTGACACCGGCTTGGACTCTGTTTTTATTTAAAATTTTGATATTTTGTCCATCATAGATTTTCTGCATTCATTTTGAATTTTTTCCAAAAATATCACATTAAATATTTTTCTTGATACTTGAGCTTTTGGCAGCCCCCACCCCACTTCCTCCCCCAGTCCAAGTTTGTTACTGTATTTACCTATATCTGTACCCATATGACACACTTTTATTTACAAACGTGGCTTAGACTATAATCATAGTTGTAAACCCCTTTTCCCTTAATATTACCATAAGCATCTTCTTATGTGACCATATTTTGTGAAATCAAAATTAGAATTTAGAGTGTCAGTGTAACTCATAAGCTAACAAGGGAACAAAATATTTGAAATCAAAATGGTCTCAGAAAACACAGAGCATCTGGTCTTCTGCACAGAGCTTACCTCTGAAGAGTGTGATTCAGACCGACCATGAGAGTCGCATTCCCCCAGCATCACCTCGAGCAAGCAGAATGGCTCAGAGAATCAACATCTTGCCAAAAAGATCAGAAACATAAAGCGCTTACTTAAGTAAGATGGCCTAACCCAGAGTTGGAAATGGAAGAGCAGATAGTCACACCTTCTGTTCAAGGCCCCTCCTCTGGGCTTCAGGTGCCTTGACCTTTTCCTCCTCTCGGGATCTCATCTCACCAAGATTTTTACAAGAAACGACCGCCAGGGAGTGAAGTCGTCTCACAAGCAGGGCAAGGTGTAAGGTTCGGCTGCCCCACAGGACGAACACAGAGCATCTCGTCCAAAGAAGGGAGCGAGTCTCACTCCTTTTCCTTTTTTCCCCTAACAGTTGCAGTCCAGGTTCATAGCAGAAAACTTTGGGGTAAAGGAAAGGAGAAAGAATGAATTGTCACCCATAATTTTACAACCCTGAGGCAAACAAGATTAATCTTCAGACATAGTTCCTTCCATTACTTATGTTATTCATGCTCATCATAAATTATATATATTAATTATCGATATCTTGATTAATGCCTTAATTTTAAATGTTAATATGCATGTTATCATTATTATATTAATATACAGGTATAATGAACATAAGCATAATATGTATATATTATATGGTTTGTTTTATTAATGAAATTATGACTATAATCTGTATAAAGATTTCAGTTCTGCTTTTCTCAGTATATTGTCATTATACTGAGTGCATTATTTCACGCCATTAAATAGTTTTCAAAAACATGATATTAGCAGAGGCCTAGAATTACTTCACAGC